CCACCACCACCACCCAATAAGTCACTCATCTCCCTTTTGGTGACTAGAGTCCTTGTGGGCAGGCACTTCAGAGATGCTCCTAGTCAGCAAAATGGATTCTGTGACACCTTTGCTTTATGTGGAACTGATATATAGAAATAAACAACCTTTAAAGGCAGGAGGAATGAGCATCTGGTGTGGTGGTGTAGCTTTGCTTGACGGAGACTTTCTCCCAATGTCTGTCATTCAGTGACCCATCCTTGATCCTCAGTACCTGAAGGCGTACACCGTTCAAACCCAAGTTAGTTTCCCTCTGCAGGAAACGTGGAAGGAAAGTTCCTTTATATTAGGTATGAACATAGGAGTCCCATGCTTCTGTTCACAGCTGAGCAGCTGCCTCCAGCCATTCTTTCTGAATAGTCCTTCGTTTCCATTTGCTCAAGAGAGCAGAGAAAAGCAGGCATTGGCATATGGGACAGCCTTGTTGGAGAAGAGCTAATGAGGTTTTGATGAAAGGCTGCCCTGTAGATCCTTTCCCAAATTCTCCTTGGTAGAAAAGCAGGATTCTCTTCGTAAATGCTATATAGGTTAGGTGGTGGGCCTTCAAGACCGGGGGAAAGGGGGATAAAAGCAAGCTGCTGCCCTCCCAGTGTATAATTTGGGGAGGCTACCCAGAAGCTGCACCCATCAGTTGAGCCTGCGCCAATCTGCCACTAAGCAGTGTTTTTCCTTTGTTGACACCTGAGCTGCTACCCTGAGCCCTCTGGGAATAGAAAGAGTGGATCATTAAGTCTAATTGGGGGCGGGTTTGTTGCTGTACTTGTCCCAGGAAGGCTTAACCAAAAGCAAGCCACAGAGGTGGAGACTTTTCTGGGAAATGGGGCAATCTCTTGTTTCTCTTCCAGAAGCCACTGGCTAAGATTGAGCAGACTAGCAGAGCCTCTTATCTAGATCCCCCTAGATGGGGGCAGGGAGCAGCAACTGTACACAACCATTGGTTGCATATGGGAAGATCACTCAGGAGGCTCAGGCTGATCTGGAGCAGAGAAGTTGATCAGGGGAGAGAGCCTTCTGTCCCTAAGTCTGGCCGCCGTTCCTATGTGCCCTGGATCTTAGTCTCTGAAAACAGTCTTCACGGATACGTGTTCTGTGAGATTGCCAGGAAGCAGCTATCCCCAGCCCAAAGAGCAGATCAAGCCATGATGCAAACTGGGAAGCCCGTGGCCTCTTGGGGTTTCACCCTTGAAATCAAGGAGGAAACCTTGTTTGGCAGAATTTCCTGTAGTAAATGGAGTTCTCTGGCACTCCGGAGAAACAGCGGTGCCAAAAAGGCATCCCTCTTTGTTTCCTGTCCAATTGCCATAAATCAGGTGGCAAACTGGGAGGACCATCATAGAAAGATTTGCCAGGCAGGCTTACCTCCTCCCCTTGGATGAGCCACAATTGATCCGGAGGCAGGGAACATGTTGCCCAGAGCACCAGAGAGCCAGGTGCCTCTTCTCCCCCACCTTGGAGTGCTCTCAACTGGTTGGCTCCATCTCTACCTGGGCGGAGAGGAAGGTTCTCAAGGGGACATTCCTTCTGCCAGTGCTGCAGGCAGAGAGCATTCAGACAGACGCCAGGGCTTCCTGTGAGCGAGCAAGCAAGGTAAGTGAGCAGAGCAGGCATGGGGTCCCGTGTGGAACAGATGGCAGAAAAGTCAGAAGGGTGGTGGTGGGCCTGCCAGTTACCAAGAGGTGGTGTATTGAATGTCCAGGCCAGGGAAGCAGAAGCTGAGCCAGTAGCAAGCCAGAACCAGTTGATGCCAGAAGGAATTCTCAAGAAACCATAAGCCACAGCCTGGGAAGGAATGAGTTAGGCGAGAGACCAATCCTCCTTCTTGGGCTTGGACTCCATGTCTGCAGATGAGCCAAAGATGGGCTGCTGCTGCTGCTGCTGCTGTTGGGTCTTCTTTCCCCGTGGCCCACTTAGTCTGGTGCAGGTTTCTGGCTCCAGCAGGTACTAATTCAGGCCAAGGTTTTCACAAAATCTGAGCTGTGGCATTGGGAAGGGTCTGGAAGACCCCGGTTCCTGGGCAAGTCTCAGTCTGGTTCCTGAAGTACTCAGCAGGCTGGCTCAGAGAGGTGGGGATGAATTTGGAACTGGAGAAGGACCTGCTCAGTCAACCCAACAAGCTGGGTGTTGGCTGACACAAGGAGGCAAGGGGTAGCTTTCTGTTTTTGATACCTGCCTGGGCGCCCCTCGCTTCCCTCTGGGGCTGCACCAAACAGGCGTTGCTGGGCCAACAACGTGTGTCATTAACCTGCAGCCCTGGGCCTTTGGGCTTGTCATTTTCCTGTCTCCCTGGCAGCCACAAGTCACTTTGGGGCCTGCTGGGCATCCTGGAAATGAGCCCAATACTATCCTAGATCGTGCCGTTCACTGAATAGATCACAGGTTGGCTATCTTCTGAGGGACCATGTCCCCTCCGATGCCAGCTTCTGAAAGAGCCGCATTAATGTGGGGCTTCAGGCTACCGTAAATGATATACGAAGAGGCCAGAATGGTGGGAGCAGAAACTCGGAGTTCGGCGGTGGGGGGAATGCTGGTCTCGATAATGGAAAAATAAAATCTTAGAATTGGGTTTGATTGTAAACTGACACAGCAGTATGATAGGCCTGGAAAAATTCAATTCTAAGCCACATTTACAGAAGTGTTTTTTAAAAAAACATTCAGAGGCATCAGAACAGGTTCAGAGAAGGGGCCACAAGGAAGATGCAGTATGACCACTTACAAAGTGAGTTTGAAGGAGCTGGACATGTTGAGTGGCCTTAAGATTGAGTGGCATGTGATACCGTTTTTTTCAAGCAGCTAAATGGATGTCAAGGCCCAGCTTGGCTTTCTATCATTCCAGAAATTGGAATTTATTTTATCAAATTTATATGGAATATTTAACTTCAAGGAAGCTGATTTTGACCGAATGGGCGGGGTTGGGGTGAGCCTTTATGTGTTCAGGCAGGAGCTAAAAAGGCTTTGTTGGGGGGTCTTTGAGTCAGGCCCGGCACTGACCAAGGGATGACTCAGCTTTCAGAAATGATTAGATTAACAGAGTTGGAAGGTCATCTAGTTTGACCTGCCGCCCAAGCAGCAGACCCTGCACCATTTCTGACAGATGGCAGTCCATCCTCTTCTTGAAAGCCTCCCGGGATGAAGCTCCCACAACTTCCGAGGATAACTTCTGTTCTATTGGTTGATTGTTCTCGCTGTCAGAGAGTTTCTCCTTATTTCAAGGTTGAATCTCTCCTTGTTCAGTTTCCATCCATTGTTCCTTGTCTGGCCTTCAAAGGTTCTTTGGAGAATAGCTGGGCTCCTTCCTCCTCTCTGGGGCAGCCCCTCAAATATTGGAAGACTCCCATCATGTCTCCTCCGGACCCTCTTTTCACTAGACCAGCCAAGCCCAGTTCCTGCAACCATTCATCGTATGTTTTAGCCTCCAGTCCTGGTTAATCATCCTGGTTGCTCTTCTCTGCACTCTTTTGAGTCTCAACATTTTTTTTGTATTGTGGTGACCAAAACTGGATGCAGTATTCTAGGTGTAGTATTAGTACCTCCCTTGATCTTGGTCAGCAGCTGCCCAGTTAATGAGCCTCCTGGTAGGAGCCCCTTGTCTTGGGTAGATAACTTTGACTTTGAATCTCTCACCATATATTGGGGTCCCCCTAAGCTCTTAGTGGTGACACTGGAGACACGGGGGGGGGGGGAGCTTTTGCAGGGCCTGCTTGGAAAGGAAAGCACTTTATTTGACATGGACTCTCCCTGTTTCTTAGCCCTGTGTGGGACATAAGACCTTACTTAGCATGCAGACACAAGTAATTCCCTCCAAATAATAGATATTCATGCTAATAAAAAATAGTTCAGGCAGCAGATAAATGGTGGGGAAAAAGAAGAGGGGAGAGGGAGGGAGGGAGGGAGGGAGGGAGGGAGGGAGGAAGGAAGGAAGGAAGGAAGGAAGGAAGGAAGGAAGGAAGGAAGGAAGGAAGGAAGGAAGGAAGGAAGGACCTAGAACAACAAGAGTTGGAAGGGATCTTGGAGGTCACTTAGTCTAATTCCCTACTCAAGCAGGAGACCGAGACTGGACAAGTGGCTATCCAGTCTCTTCTTAAAAGCCTCGGTGATGAAGCACCCACAACTTCTGAAGGCAAGCCACTCCACTGGTTTATTGTCTCCTGTCAGGGAATTTTTCCTTAGTTCAGGGTTGCTTCTCTCGATTAGTTTCCAGCCCATGTTTCCTATCTTGCCTTCTGGTGCTTTGGAGAATAGCTTGACTCACCTTGTCTTTGTGGCAGCCCTTCAAATATTGGAAAACTGCCATCATGTCTCCCCTGGTCCTTCTCTTCCCTAGACTAGCCATACATGGACCATTCAGGTAGACTAGACATGAGCCCTTCCAAGAACTGCCTAAGAGAAGAAGGAAGGCTCTTTTCTGCAACAGGGGCGAGCACCAGAGTGGGAGCACCACTGATCAGGTTCTCCAGGTCAGGGAGATTGATCCTCCTGAAGACTTTGGAAACACCAGCTCCAGCTTTCCCTGCTGCTGGGTGGGTCAGGAATGTTGAGAGCATTTGGTCAGGTCTGGCCACCAGCTGGTGGCAGGATGGGAGAAGCCAGGAAGCTGAACTACTTGCTCTGGACTGTCCCCAGCTAAGCTGTGGGAATACAGTCATGGCCAAACATACTGGGGGCTTTTCCTTGACCCTGGGGGTTGTGGGAGTTGCCTGGGCAAACAGGACCGGCAACCAGTTCCCCACCATAATAAGATGCACAGCCATGGAGCACCCAACGTCTGCGACTGTGGTGGGATGAGTGGCCACGCTGCAGAGGTCCAGATTCAGCAGGCTGGCTGGATGGGAGCCTTCCCTCAGCTTTGCACGGTGTGTGGATCTTGTCTGCTTTCCCTCTGCAGCAAAAGAAACACACATCCCTGCAGAGACCACAGCAGCCCTTCTCCCCTCCATCTAGAGAAACGAGTCCTGTGCTCCAGGATGACCTGCCCCAACTTCCAGATCCTTTCAGCCCAAGGTAAGAGGGTCCTTGGAGAAGGTGACTGGAGGAATAGACAGCCTGGAATAGACAGCAAGGTTGAAGCATGGAAACTGTCCTTCCACTGTACTTCCATTTCATTCTACTTCTATTCTACTGAATTTCTGCCTACCAACTCTGAAGTCTTGTCCCAGGAGATCCCAAAATACGTGCCTGGACTTTGAAAGAGAAGGCTCATGAACTGGGGTCCTGTGTAGATTACTCGCCAAAGAACTGGAAATGTTGTTCTCTGGGTCTCCCAACCTCCCACCACTGAAAACCCACCTTCTCTCTTTGTCTGCAGGCCGCCGCCTCCTCCTCCTCCTCCTCTGCAGTCTTTCCTATTTTGGTACCCAAGGTCCTTATGCAGAAGCAGGTGAGGTGGCTAGCTGTGAGAACCAAGCCAAGGGCCAGGCAGGCCTCAGTGGACAGTGCGGAAGGGGGACCACTAGGCCTCTCTACCACTGTTTCCCTTGCCTCTCCAAAATATCCAACCTTGCTCCTGTTCTACCCCACAAGACTCCCATTGGTTCCGCTGTTTATCCCTCTTTCTCTCACTCTTTCCAGAGCCAGATGTGATCTCTGGAGCAGCCATTTTCTCCAACCATTCCCTGAACGGGACAGGTGTGATACCTGTAAGGAAACGAGGCCTCTGAGCAGAAGGGGGAAAGCCTTTTTTTCATTAGCTGGACAGAGAAATGGGGGCCTTTAAGGAAGAGGGAGGTTGGGCTGGGTGGGAGGCCATGGCAGGGAGGCTTGTGGGATGCCACGGAGGCATAGCTGGCCCCCAGACTGTTGCTCCCTCTTTTGTGGCAGCTCTCCTGCCAGAGTTTCCAGTGTTCAGGAGAGAGATGTTACCAGGATGAGGCCCATGGCAACAATTCCCAGCTCTGCCACAATGCTTCACACTGTGAGGTAAGGGTCCCGGAGGTGTCTAATTGGCGGGGGATGACAAGGGATGCTCCTTCTTGAGCCCAAGCAGGGATTCCTGAAATGCCAGCCTTGCTCATGCTCTGTGGCTCTCGCAGCTCTACCGTCTCAACAGCACCAGCTACACAGCCCGATGCAGTAGTGATTGTGGAAGGGGCAATGCCTCGGAGATGTGCCTCCACAGCGGAAGGCTGGGCCTGGAGCTCTGCATTATGGAATGTTGCAACTGGCCCAACTGCCTGCAGCTCAATGCCACGGCATACGGTAAGCTCCTCTTCAGGGGGGCTTTGCTCAGTAGTCCACCAGGGGCTTCTGTCCAGTAATTTGGCTTGATGGAACTGTTGGCAGGGGTTTTCTTGGTATGGCTTTCCCTGGCTCTCTCCCTGAGCTCTTTGGCACAGGAACTGCCTGCCCAGGAATTTCAGGGCTTGTGTTGAGGGCCACCCTGGGGAGCTGCCTGGGGGAGCGAGGGGTCAAAGTTCTCTTCTCTCTTCCAGGTGACAGGGCATCCACCACCACCCCAGTTCCCACCACTCCCACCACCACCACCACCCCTGCACCACCCCGCAATGTAAGTGTTCCGTGGGACATCCTCTTCACCAGCTCATTAGAGTCAGATCGGCTGCCACATGGGAACCTCTTCTGGGTTCTCAAACATTTGCAGTTCTCAGGGAAGACCACCCTGCTGCAGGGCCGAGCTGAGCTTTCCTTCCTGCCTTTCTAGGGAAAGGTTTGCTCAAGCTTCACCTGCCATGGAGAAGGCTGCTTCAAAGGGCAGAAGTCCTCAACCAGCTGCATTGTGGGCCACGACTTCTGCGAGGTAGGGTGTCTGCCAGGACCTCTGAAAGCCAAGCGTTGCTCTGTCTCCTACCACTTTCTAAGTGGGAAGGTCCAGGGAAGGTCACTTTCTCTTGCCCCCACCCCCAAAAGGTCGATGGCAGAAGAATGTCTCTGGCTAATACCCTCCAAAGGTACTGCTGCTCCTTAGATACACTAGCTAGCTAACGGGCTTTTTATTGAAGGTTGTCTTGGAATTTCCCGCTTAATTAGACTTCTAACCACCACAGACTTCTAGCATGTATGATTTAGTTGTTAAATGAGCGGATTTCTTAGCAGCGGAGAGAGGGTGCAGCTTCAGACCACTGCATCTTCTGTCAGCTCACCTGCAGGATTCATGCAGCAGATACACAAAAGCCAGAATCTCCCTTTCCAAAAGAAAGATCCCCCCCCAGTATTGCAGCTTCATCTCCCAACTGTCTTTGAAAGGAACAGGCTCTCCTACCTGTTGCCCAGCTTTCTGGAGAGGAAGCTTTCCCCGTGGTGTCTGCTCCTACCTCACTCACCAACTGCAACTTCTTTCTCTCCTTCCAGATGAAAAAAACAGGCTCACATTTTGTGGCAGGCTGTAGCCAAAGTTGCAAAACCAAGGGCCATCCTTGCTCCCACAAATCTACTGCCGCTTGCTACCAAGAGTGCTGCCAGGCTATGCCCAAAACCAGCTGCCTGAAGCTGGATGGGAAAGTGCACTTCAACAGGGCGAGCAGCCTGGCTTCGGCTTCTCTGTTCCAGCTCCTCACCTGGGCTGCACTGCTCAGTCTCAGCTGCTCCATCTCCTTCTTGGTTGGGACCAACTGATCCACTACTCGGTGCCTTCAGCCCTCAGATCTGCTGGGCAGGAGGGAACTCCCTCCCCACCCTTACCCACATTGCTTCCCTTCTGTTCTCCCTGGCTCCTTTTTCCCAGGAAAGCAAGAGGCATTTTTTTTCTTTCTATACTGCTAGTGCTCAGGTTATTCTCTTTTCATCCCAAGTATCAGCTGAGTGTGTACAGCCAGGCTCTAGGGTCTCTGGCATGGGCCGACTCTGAATGGCCCATAGCCTTGGAGCTGGAATGAGGGATTCTCTTGGGTCTGCAGCACAAGCTATCGCTGCTATCGCTGCTATCGCTGCTATCGCTGCTATCGCTAGGAAGTGGTTTTCCCTGGGATGACTGTGCTGAGCCCCTCCAGGTTGTCCTTTTGACTCCCTTGCTGAGAAGACTTGGATTCAGGCCCAACAGCAGAAGGGACACTAACCCAAGGGAAAGAAACCAGCAAACTCTAGTTTATGCTTCTGTTGGTTTCACTCACCTTCTCTCTTCAAAGCTTTGCTTCTGCTCCTTTCCTGATTCCTTATACCATTTATTTCCTTGTTCTTTTGCAGGACACCACCAACCTTCCCTCACCATTCAGCCTTTAGTCATAATATTCCACACCTGACCATTCTTGCTGCATCCATATTCTCACAAGACATTCCATAATTCAAGCTTCTCTACTTTATCATATGTCTTCTCTAAATAAAGCAACATACAACATACAAATGTCACTCATACATTTTTCAATGACCTGCTGAACAGCAAACATTTGCACACTCCCTGCCCTGCTTCTTAGGCATTTACAATCCAAACCATGTCACATTCTTTCCCAAGTTTGCTTAACAAGCTAATGTCCATATAGTTTTCCATTCCCTCTGGTTATACTTCTCTTTGTATGGGGAAGCGACAGTGGCATGCTGCAGACTCCCAGGCAGAGAAGCAGTCTTTACACACATTACGCAGTTCCCACAGCTACTTCCCCAGGGATAAAAATCTACCAGTTACACCCAATATGCCTGTAGCTGTGCCATTTGTAAACCTTCTCACAGCATGTGTGGCTTGCTTTTTGTGGCTTGCTTTCTGTTTTGACCACTAACATGTTTACCTCAATTCCATATTTTTGATATATCACTATTGCTGGACTACTCCTAAGAGCAATTTCCTCACTCCGCTTTCATCCGCAATCATTTCATCCCTTCCATGTTTAATTCCATTCACTCTGTTGGAGGCGCCTTCTTTGGCAGTCTTCACTCATGTCCCTAATAATGTTTTACTTCCCGCAAAAATTGCATTGCATTTTCTCTGCCCCTTTTAATCCTTACTGCCCTCTATTTTTTACGCTTGTTTATATAGCCTCCCCCACGTCTCATTTTCTCGCAGCTGTTGTTTGCATTTTTCCTTTTCGGAAGCCAATTTTATTCTGATGTTCCGCCGAGCAACCTTTTTATATTTCCAGGAGCCGCTGCAAGATTAGACTTTGCGCTCTTCCCCGCCGAGGCCACCTCCCCTTTTCTTAGCTTCCCTTTCTAGGGGCTCAACGTAGCGTTTTGGCAGGACGTCTCACTGATCTTCCTCCTCCCACCGAAGAAAGCGGCGTTTTCCCGGCAAGAGAGGTCCCCGCTGCCCCCCTCCCCGCCCTTCACTGCGTAATATTCCGGCCAGGTTGCTCCGCGGCCGCACCTCTAAGGCAGGGTAGCATAAGGGGAACAGGGTGGGGTGGGGACCGATGCTACCCCTCCTCTCTGGACAGGCTCTTCCCATTGCTCGGTGTTCAACCTGCGCTGTTTCCTTTACTAGCCTGTGCAAATAAAGTCTCCGACACCCTGCAGCGATTCGGGAGTGTGATTCGCCTGGGAATCGGGGGTGAAGAGGGGAGGGGCCCGCCGTGCAATTAGCTCGCCGATTCTGCGGGAGGCACAGGACGGCGCAAGGAAGGGAGCCGCCTTCCCGGAGCCTCCCCGAAGAGGCTGCAGCGTCCGGACCATTCTCCATTCGGGCGCCTCGAGAGAGCTCTCGGCCGGAGTGCCGCGCTTTCGGGGGCCGGATGGGAACGCGCTCCTCCGAGCGAGGAGCCCCGGGCGCCGGCCAACCCTTCCTCCATCCGGCGCTCCAGGGCGCTGCCGCCGTTCCCGCCGAGCTCCGGCCACGCAGCCCTCGTGGTCCCCTCCCGCTCTGCCCGCACCCCCGGCGCAAGAGCCGCCAGCCCCCGATGCTTTCGTCAGCCTCTCCACCCCCGCAGGCCGCCGCCGTTGCTGTCCGGAAACGCCGCCGCAACTCAGCCAGGCGCTTCGCGGTCTTCGTGCGCCCGGCGGCCCGCCTGGACCAGTCGGGGGTCGTCCAGGAGGCGCTGGCTGGCGGGCAGATGTGCCTCGCCGTATCCTTGGCCGGGGGAGGCGCCAGCGGGCTGGAGTCGATGCTGCGCTGCCCGGTGGGACCAGGCAGGGCGCGGCGGCTGCGGGCGGAGCCCGAGCGGCTGATGTGGCGGGTGGGCGAGCTGCTCCTGCGGCTGTTCCGAATTTTCCCTTGACTGTTCGCCGCAGGCCGTGCAAGGGAGCCTGGTGGTGGAACAGGCGGGAGATGCCTGTGAGTGCCCGCCGCCACCGCCGCCGCCTGCCCTCCTGGCGAAGGCCGGGGGAAGGGCAGCCCAGCCAAGCCGCGGCTCTTCCCGGCACCAGCCAGCCGGAGACGCTCGGGAGGGGCCGTGGAATTAACCAGCCACGCTTGGCCTGGCGTGAGGCGGCTGTTTAGGAAGGCAGCCCGGCTCACCGGAGGAGCCTTTGCTCGCTTGCCCGGCCGGCGCTTCGGATCTCCGTTAGTTGCGCGCCCAGCGATGGTCCCAACCTGGGAGGGAGGGAAGCGATTGCCGCAGGCTGCTCCTCCCGGCCATTTGAGCCTTAGCTTGGTGGGGCTGAGGGGGTGGGCTATGACTCTGCCCAGGCGAGTAGAGGCAGCCGCTGCCCAGCTGGAGCCGGGCCTGCCTTGGGGCCGAGGGGACCAGCAGGTAGGACGGGGCTCACCGGAAGGGGCTCTCCTTGCTGTGCCCGCAGGATCTGCCTGTACAGCCACCGCGGCATGGCCATTGCTGCCGAGGACCTGTGTCTGAAGCGGGTGCTGCGCCTGGAGGAGGGTTTTGCGCTGGAAGAAGGTAGGGCACTGGGATGCCTGTTGCTCCCCTCTCTGGTGGGTTTTGCCCATTTGGTCTCCAGGCCTGAAGAGGAGACCAACATGAACCCATCCTCTCCAGAACTGGGTCCACAGAACAGCCTCATCCGGGTTCTGGCCCTGCAGATACCATTAAGCCATCAACTAACCAGAGCAGCATGCCAAGCCTGTTCAAACCAAAGCAAGGGTGGAAGAGACCAAAGTTAGCAGGTGAGGAAAAAGCTGCTGCTACAATTTTCACTGGCTCAGTTTGGCACACCATTCATATCTAGATAACTGGCTCTGCACAGACCAAGGGCAACACCAGCATTTCCACACAGGTATGACTCTTATTCACCAGTGATCTGCTGGGGGAAGAGGGTTGGGGCACACTTGTGGCACTTCCATAGTTCAGACTAATTGTTCTCTCTCTTCTGGCAGTGCTTATGGAGACGGAGTTGCCCACTCTAGATAAGCAGACTGCCTCCAGCTGTAACTTTTGCAAATGAAAAGCCTTTTTCTTTTCCTGAAAATCCCTTTGCACCTCCCTCTTCTGCCAGAAGCGCAATATTTTGACTGTTGTGCACCAGAATAACTGGCCCCTGACACACCGAAATTCTGCATCCATGAAAATGAACCTCTACAGCCTGTCATGCAATATGCAGAAGTCCATTCCCAAGTGGAAAAATCCCATTCTGCAAATCAGGAGAAAAGAGGCAAGAAACACTGAAGTCACATAAGGAAACCACTCTAAACTTCAACAGCCCCGCCTTTTTTTTCCTTGTCTCATTTCCTTGTCTCATGACGGCTAGAATCAATTTCTATTTATCCCATTTGTTTAGAGAGTCACTTTTATCTTGATAATTTGACTTACGTTGTCACATATAGCATTACTCTTCCATACAGGTAATCCTCACAACCACAATTCAGCCCAATATTTCCCTTTCCAAACAAGACGGCGGTTAAGTGAATTAACCTGTTAATTAACCAGCTGTTAGCTTAGTAACCTTAGTTACTACCTGTTACCTTAGTCCCAAAGGTGCTTTTTCAACTGGACTTTCTGGTTTTTCTTTGAAGATGTTGGATGAGAAGCGAAACGTCTTCAAAGAAAACCAAGAAAGTCCAGCTGCCTCTTGAAAAAGCATCTTTGGGACAACCAGGGCCAGGATGACTGAGAATCTCCATGGATACTTTGTATCATGATTGTTAGGTGGATCTGGCTTCCCCATTGGCTTTACTTATTAGAAAGCTGCAAAAAGTGTCACATGACCTTGGAACACTGCAACCGTCATAAGTATACGCCAGTTTCCAAGGGTCTGAGTTTTGGTCACATGACCACAGATCATGGATGGTCATAAGTCACTTTTTTCAGTGGTGGTAGAACCTCAAACAGTTCCAGAATGAATAGTTGCATGTTGAGGATTATCTGTATTTCCTGGAAATCTTAACATATACAAGGTCAAGAATGTCATTTTTATTCACAGCATCACACAAAGACTGATAATGACAAGTTTCAGTTTTGAGCTTTAGCTCTGCAGATCCTAAAACCTCAGAATTTGGAGGCATCATTTAATCATGAAGCGGAATCTTTTGCTTCACAAATGATGGTTGTCCGGCCTGAACATGAACACTGGGGAATAAGAAAGAGCATGCCATTTTGTTGGGTAATTGGTTTCCTGCCAGATTTGTTCTTTCTGTTATTATACTTTTTCTACTGCTCCATTGAAAACTGCCTTCCTGCAACTTAAACTGATGCATGTCCTGTTCTAACATGGAGTATAACAAAAATCTTGACCTGTAGGATTTCCTTTCAGATAATTGAAGAGCGGCCATCATTTTACTCCCAAGTCTTGTCTCTGAA